TAAAATTTCGTTTTATGTTATTAAAAACCCTGAGCCGAATTGAGATGAATAAATATTATGAATTAAAGTTTTATAGAATAATAAAATGAAGGCATTGTGTTGGTATAAGTGAATGTTGACTAATAAAGGACATTTTAATGCTCTTAAAGGAATATTCTATTTACTGAATTTAAAGAAAAAACTATAATAAAAAAAGATATATACACATACATACAATAAAATAGTATTTAAGGAATTGTAGAATTAGATGGAAAATGAAAATAAAGAAAAGACGCTCTAGTTTTCTTATTTTTCTTTAGTTTTTTTCATGCTTCTTCTACTGTGCCCTTTTAATCGATTATTTGCGTTCTTTCATATTCTAATGTCAGTATGTATGTGAGTGAGTGTGTGTGTATAGGAAAGGTTCAGATAATTATTGTCTTTTGTATAATTTCCTTTTATGCTTTTTTTTTAACTTTTTTATTTTTCTATCACACTTTTTCTTTTCTTTTTCTTATTTTATACTGAAAGAAAATTAAAATACAGGAGGGTAAGGTAGTTATTATTGTTGTCGTCGTCTTCGTTGTCGTTCTTATCATTATCGTTTTTTTCTTCTTTTTTATTTTCACTTAAGAAAATTAAATCGCTCACAATTTCCTTTCTTTTAATAATTTAAAGACTTTCTACTTTATGTTGTTACTATGTGCTTTTTTCCGTTTATGGTTATGGTGATGATCACAAGCCTATTCGCAAGGCATTCAAACATTATGATAATTTTTTATTTTTTTCTAATATACATAATATATGTATAGTAAGTATGAATATTGATATTAGTATAAGTAACATTTAACAATGCTACACAAACCTACAACATAGTAATGTGATTGTATACTTTAATGTCCTGTAATTTATGTAGTTGTATAAAGAACAAAATTTTATTTAAAAAAAAAATTCTTTCTTTTTAATGAAGTTTTAGTGAACAAAATTATTGTTTGTTAAGGACTATTGATAAAAAGAAAATATTTTTAGGTTTGTAGACTCTTTAGGATGCTACTCTTAACAATCTAAATGAGTCATAGCGCAGAATATTATACATAGTTTTGTATTGCTTTGTGATTTTGTTAAACGACGAACACAAGAGTGACCATTACAACAATTACAAGGTTTATTTTTAAAGCGACTGAAGTCTATTTTTATTGAAAATATTAAACATTTCAACGTTTGTGTTTAAAATAAATAAAAATTCTAATATTATGCTTTAATAATTTAGTTAAAACCACAGAATTTTTATTTCAGATATTTATTGCTGGTGAAATAAAATCATTAAGAGGTTACAAGTGTCATATTTTCTTGAGGTAAATATAAAAATCAAAAATTTTTATTTTGTCAACAAACAAATTTCATTATTGAAGTAATTCGTGAGAAAGTGGACGATATTAATTTTCAGAGTTTGAGTAAATAAATCCACATTATATTGAATTTTCGCGAATATTCAGTTTGTATTTGATATTCAGTATGTTACCATTTGGGAACTGGGAAGAATTTACTGAACCAAGAAGAAATAAACCAAGAACAATATTTTGTATTTTCTGTGTATTTTGTATTTTCATAAATACACGTTAGTTTACTTAAAACTTTAACTTTATTGCTGTATAACCGAAGAATAAACAAAATTCAAAAGAAATCACTTAAAAAAATAGTAACATTTAAATAAAATTTGTCAATTTAGTTCAAATACCTACATGAAATTAATCTTACTCTGGGATGGTTAAGAAAAATTATTATTGTCATCTGGTTGCGACTTAATGACTGAATGATTTTATATTTTTCCATTATTTAATAGTTTTAATTTTTCGTATTTTCCTCTAAAGTTAATTGTTATGTTAATTTTATTAGAATAAGTTCTTTTTGTCAAATAAAAGTATTTTAAATAGCTATTTGGAATATTGCAAGAAAATAAATGAAAGCATCAAACTTTATCTAGTGGTTGATGGTTTTACAGCACTGTAATTACAGCACTTTAATTAAAATTTAATTTTAATTTTAAACAAGTAATTTTATTGAAAATTTTTCGAAAAACATTTTGCACTTAAATTTCTTTAGTTTTCTTAATTTTAGGTGTTTCACCAATTGAATATAAAGAAATGGTTATAAAATATTTCTAAAGCAAAAAATTAAATGTTGTAAAAAAAACACAAACATACATACAAAGAATATTTTTATAAAAGATAATATTCTAAAATATTTTTAAAAAATCATTAATATTAAAATATTTTATATACAATTTAGAGTTTTCCTATTAACCATAATCTAAGGACGTTATAAGGGATAAGAAAAGCAGATTAAACGTTATATAGCAAATTCTTTCCTTTTGTTTTTGTTTTTATTAAAAAAAAAAAATATTGAAAAAAGAGAAAAATTTTTTCATAATAATTTTCTTTTCAATGAAGGTATGAGAAAAATTTATTCAAAATCAATTTTCATAAAATATTCATCTTAAGAGGATTTATGCTAATATTACTTTTGTAATATAATATTTTGTTTATATTGCTTATGCTTGAGTATCTACATAAATGTATGTATATGCCTTTTTAAAGTGATAAGTGATAATGGAAAAATTATTACTTTTCTCTTTTTTTAAAGAGCGCGTGTGTGTTGTTGTTGTTCCGAAAAGAAAACAATAAATTTTTGTTCGTATATACTTGTAATACGAATCAATGGAAAAATATAAAATATTAAAATTTTCTTTTGAATTAAAAAAAAATCTAATAAATTCGAAACAAATCGAAAGGTTTGCGAAACAACACATTCTCTAGAATCAAAGGAAATACTTTTTTTTTTATAAAACGTAAATATAGTTACTTAAACTATCCTTATTATCTTAATGGTCAAGTGCGGTACCTATAACTATTTAAGTTATTTAAAATTAATAATTATTGTTTTTGATTTGAAAGTTTTAAAAATAAGAAACTGAATATAGATTGTTTTGATGAGTGATAACTTGAAATGGGAAGGCGGCAGAAATGCACCCTTCTCCGATAAAATACATCCTCTATTATGGTGTGGGAGAACAACTATTTCAAAATTAACAAAAAGAGAACGGACTCAAAGTATAATCTAATTTTGATTACTTTATGTTTGTCATTGTGATGTTTCCCGATACTGTCATGCAAAAGAAGAATGTCTTCAATTTTTCGTGATTTTGGAATTTTTGGTATATTAAGATTTGTTTGTATATAAAATTTTAGTTTTCTATCCGAAAACCATAAAAGTTTGATAAAACTATATTAAGCACTTTTTTTTCCAATTCTGATGGAAATATGCTAAAAATTAAAATTCAGATAAAAATTTTATTTGATATTGGAGTTTAAATTTAAATTATTATTGAAATAAATTTTTATGCTATGTTTATACCCAATGGTATAGTTTTAGATGTGTATGTAACGTACATATGTTATACATACACCTGATTGTGCCACGGGGTATTTTACATGAATATCCAATTGATAATTTTATAAATATTAATTAAATATAAATGTGTTTAAAATACGTAAATAAATTTAAAAACTAATAGTTTAGTTTAATGTACAATAGTTATGAAAATAAAATTATTTAACGATGAATGTGATTTTTCCTAGGGGTTAAATGAGATTTAAATACGAAAAAATGCTAGTGACGAATATATTCTATCTGGTTAACAGGTCAAAAATTTTTTCTGCAATAATAAAATTTACAAAAACAGTGATTAATATATTTTGTATTCCGATATGAATTCATTCATGTTTAATATTTTTTGTTTGCATTGTGGCAAACATGTTCTTCTAATTCAATGGGATTATCTAAAGAGATTTCATTATAAAATAATAAATAAAAAACAACAATATAAAAATTTCTTTTCTTATAATCAAGTTAGAGTGAAAATTTTAATTGTACGTACAAAAAAAGCGATATATGCAGGTTTCCTCTTTTCTATGAGAAATTTACACCTCAAATTCTTAAATTATTTAGATTAAAAGTATTAAAAAGTCTCATACAATTTCTTTGAGCTATTCAATAAACCATTGAATTTACATAGAAATTTTATTTTACTATGGGCGTTACATAAAGTAGATATATAATAATTATTATATCCGTGCGAACGTATGTTCAAAATAATTACTGTTCATCTGTCCGTTTGTCCGTCCCAACTGATCATGGTCAACTCTATTTTTTGCTCGAGCAAAAAATAAAGTTGACCCTGATCATTTTATGTTTTTATTTGTTAAATCTGGGTCATATCACTGTAATTACTAAATGAATAGAATCCTTTGTGTCAAAGCTTTAAAAATTTTTGTCTAAAGTCATAATATTAAGATATCTATGCCAAGATAACACTAACAAAAACTAAAATTTTTATTCCTCAACTATTACAATTGGATTAGATTTGTTAATGGTGACCGTTTTGATTAATAAAAGGCCAATAATAGAAAAAAAAGTTGTTTTATTTTTTAGATAATCTTTTTGTTCTTTTAAAAAATAAAAACTTTTGCTCTTTGAGGTGAGTGTTCTTTTCTTGGAACATTTTTTCTTTGATCATATTAAAAATCTTTTGTAAGTACTTTTCTTTTTAGTTTTAGATTTTCATTTTCAAAATTTATTTTCGTTTTAAGGTATATTGTCCTTGAAGAATACTTTTTATAATGTTTTTGTTTTTCTTTTTTTGAAAAATAAAATTGTATATAGATTAAATTTATAAAATGCTTGATTGTTATGGTTAACCTTGAAGTATACATTAAAATTTTATCCTCTACAAATAAAATCAAATTAAACACAAAAATATTATAAAATGGTTTCTTATAATAAAACTTTAATGTACAAATATTTGAAAAAGATTTAATATTTTTTTTAGACGAAAAGGAATAAGAACTGTTGGTTACAAAAAATTATTTTCAAAAATCGATTATTTTTACATTTAGAAAAATTTATATTACGAGTATAAAAATGATGTGTATTTGTCACATAATTAAGTTTAATTAACTTACCTATAACGGTGAGATTCACTTTAACATTTCGAGTTGGTGAATTACGAAAATCTACTCTACATCTATATAATCCTTCATCTGTTAATTTGACATTATCTACTTTTAGTTGTGCTGGATGTGATGTGCTACTAAAATATGCTCTTTGGCCAAATGCTGACGGAGATGACCATAATTTTGCCTGACCAAATTGCCGACCTCTAACATCAAAACTGTAATTTAAAATAAATTTTTGTTTTATAAATACAGACTGTTTTCAAAATCTTTTATATTGAATTAGTTTAATTGTTACAAATTTAATAAATTTCTTAAATCTTTCATATAAAATAAATTTTTTATGTTTGTCATTTTAGGGCTCCTCATACTTATATATAACTTTGTGATAAATCAAAATTTTGCAACTATGTTGCGCATATTTTATAACAGTAAAAAAATAACAACGATACAAGTAAGTAATGACGAAGAAAACCCAAAAAGCATCTAATCAGGGAAATTTTGTAATTTGATCATAATTTTCTTAATTAATGTCAGTTACAAGAATTTTTTCAAAGTTCAATAATATTTCAAAAGACAAAATTAATTTAACCTAGTATTTGTTATGACATATTTAAATTTACATAATAAAATTTTATGAAAAAAAATTCTTTATCAAAAATTAAGAAAATATTAATCCAAGTGAAAAGATCAAAAAATTTGCAAAGTTTTTTATTTCCTGAAAATTTCAGTGAGCTTGAAGAAAAATAGATTTTAAAATTGAATTTATCGTTCATTTTGGGTTTTTGATAATTAAAATTTGTGTATTTACAATGTACATAATATTAAGTAAAATATTAATTTCGCCGGGTTTTATGCAATTTTTTTTTAATATTTTTGTTTTTCTTAAAATTTTTTATTAAATTTTCATAAATTTTATGCTTTATTAGAGTGTTCTATTGTTGTAAGAAAATTGCTTTTTAAAAACAATATTGTTATACAAGCGATCCATAAATTGTTGCCCCTCTCTCTTCTTCTTATTCTTTCTCTTTCCATCTCGATTTTTGTTATTTAGAATAACAATATTCAAAATTAATTTTCTTTTCTCTTCTCGTAACAATAACGATAATAACTTTCTTTTACGATCATTTGTTTTGAATTTCAATAATATGGGAAGGAGATTTTTTCTCAAGATGTGATTTTCAAAATAAAAATTTAAGTTTTACTTTTTTTTATTTTATTTTTTTTTGTATAAGAGCATTTAAGAGTTTTTTTTTACTAAATAAAGAGGAAAAGTTATTTCAAAGAGTTCATTTAAGTAAATAAGTGAAAACTTATTTAACTTTTTTAATAATATTTAGGAAAACATAAAATAAACACAGTAAAAAAAAAAACTTTTTAATATTCAAGACTGTAAATAAGTTTAATAACGATTGTTATGCATAAAAATTTTTATTTTTGGTTAAAATAATTTGCAAAAATAAGGAAAATAACAAAGAGGAAAATGCGAGATGACAAAATAGATTTTTGAAAAGCTATTTTGTTTTTTTATTGAAAAAGTTTTGTGTTTAAAAAACGAAATCTTTTTATTTTAGTTACAACTTGAGTACACAGAGAATTCGTTACGAACACTTTTTCAGTACATGTAATTGAAAGTTTTCTTTTAGTAAATTTCAGGAGAACATTAAACTTTTTTAATGGACACAAGCTTAAAAACAATATCAGAAATACGAGTATCTAAATTTTCAATGTTCTTTAAATTTGAATTAAATATTTTTTTTTTTGTTAAATTTTGAATTGATTTTAAAATACATTGATTGCTCAAGCCATATGTACATAAGTGAGTTAAATATGATAACAGAATAATGTTGTTACCAAATATAGGAAATTGTAGCTTAAATATTTTGTAGAATTTAAAGCTAAAGGATTATAAAAATATTCGTTTTTATAAATGTGCTTATGTTACATAATTGTTCTAAAGCCAAACAGGAAGTCTGGAACTCGATAATATTACCGAATTAAGGTTAAAGAACGAATATGGATGAATAAAAAACAAAAAGCAGTAATTTTCAATTAATTATTTTAGCAGAGTTATTGTGTTTAGAATTTGATTTTCCTGTTTTCAAAATTTCCCTCACATTTAATTTGTTAATTTGATTTTCCTGTTTTCAAAATTTCCTTCACATTCAAATTGTTTTTTCTTAAAAATTTAATCCATAAACTAAGAAGTTTAAAATTTCAGTCGATATTTTGTTGCATTAAATTTAAATTACATTTTTACTGTACATACAAATACCTAAATACCTAAAATACAAGGAGTAATAAAGCCAATTACGTATAAAGCAAAAAAATAAATAATTTGATTTTATATTCAATTTTAGGAATTTATTATGAAATTAAAGAATCATTGAGTTATTCTAATATTCTCTTTAAAAACTATATAATAAAAATTTAAATTTGATCGTTACGCCATAATTTCAATTAAAATTATTGAAGTATATGTGCATAAAATAAGTACCTACATTATATAATATCATCTTTGCTCTCCTGTCTTATTTTTTTTCGAAAAGAGACTCCCTTAGCTTAAATAATGCAAGGGTTTTGTAAGTTATTTTATTAATTTCTTTTTATAATACACAAAGGTTTTATTAAAGAAAATATAATACATCATCATAATAAGATAATGTAAGTTCTTATAATACACTTTAATGAAATTGTTTGTACTTTCACATTGTTATTTACTCATGTTTATGCATGCTATTCAAATTACATACATTTTCTCGTAGTATGAGTAATACATATTGAATATAGAACAAAATATAATTGGAGTGAAAAGTAAAGAGAAAATTCTACCAAAGTTATATGGGTAAAATTTAATAACGAATATTGCTACAAGGTTCGTATAAAAAAAATGTAATGAAAAAAAAATAAAAAAAAAACATTATGAAAATATTTTGAGTACAATATTTTTTTGTTATTCAGGTAATAAACCATTATCGCAAGGCATAACTACATTTTCTATACTAAAATTTGTTTTCAAAATAAATTTTAACTTAAACTTTAAATAAATTATTGGTTGAGAGTAAGATGATTTCAGTACCTCAGTTTTCAAGACAATCTCTTATTATTATTTTAAATGAAATTATCTTGAAGAGTGATGACCTCGTTTGCGCATAATTGCCAATTCATAACCGAACTTCAGTCTAAAAGAGTTTAATAAGAATAAGTGCAGTCTAAAAGAGTTTTGTTGAAAAACTCTTTTAGACTGTTCTTTTAAACTGCACTTACTTTGTCTTAAAAGAGAATTTGTTCAAAATTTAAGCTTTGAAGTTTTTGTTTATGTTCATTTTCAAACAAGCAGTCGAGATACTCCAACGGCTTTTATCAAACATAAAAGCCCTAATAATCAATTTGCTTGTGTAAATTTTCAAACCTAATCCCTGAATAATTTTTGAGATATTGCCAAATAACTTTTGGAGTTGTAAGGCAATTATCATAAACGCTTATATGATAATCTCAACAACTCAACGAATACGCAGCTGCCAGTCTACCGTACTTGTTTTTGCAAAATTTCAGTATCTTCCAAATATCTTTGAAACCACTGAACCTACATTTTATTTTCGAGTTGTCGTGTACTCGAACGGACGGATATATCTAAATGAACGCCAAATTTTTCGCTGAGTAAGCCTGCATATACGGGGATGATGCAGTAATCAGTGACGTAACATATACCATAATTTAGGGCATCAAAAATTAGTAAAATTTTTGTTGAGAGCTAGGTATCAAATCTCAACGATGTCCGAGGTACAGGGGTTTTAAATAATTTTCATGAAACTTCTACTTGGCAAAGTTTTTTTGCTTATAACGTAACTTGCCTACTGAAAAAGATTGACTGGTCCGTTTGAATGGTCTAGCACAGGAGCAAAATATTACTTGGGTTTTTATTTCATGTATTTTCGGAATACGAATCATTCGCATTCCAACTTTAGAGAAAATCTGCATGAGGTGAAACAAGTCAATACTTCTTAAATACTAAATCTACTACATTCAATTAAGAACTAAATTCATCAATTTTCTTTTGAAACACTAATTTTTACATTATGATATTTTTCTTATTTACTTAAACAATTTATTTGTTGACAAATGCTTTGAATATTTATGAAAGTTTATGTATAATTTTATCTAGATACTTAATTGATTTATATGAATGGATAACATCAATGTTAGAAAAACTTTTCTTGTAAACAGATATCCCCTATGCTATATGTATCTGTACATATTATATGTGTTTACTAGAAGAAATTGAGCAAAATGAGAGTGAAATTTATGAATGAGAAAATAAACATAATTTTCTTATACTTAAAGGTGAATGAAGACCTGAAATGTAAGAGTAAAAAGACCTGAAGATGTAAGAGTAATGCATGTAATTTTCTATCATTTTTATTTTCTATTATTTCTCATTCATTTAACTCCTTAATCATCAATAGCATTACTCTTCAATTTTATTTCTATCTTTTATATTCTATATTAGAATTAAAATTTAGATAATACAAGGTTGGTAAAATGAATTTTCACACCTACACGACTCCTTTCTACCTACACATGTACGTGTTTTATATAATATAATCATGTAATCTATAGGAATATATAAATAAATTCATGTTTATATTACAGTAGATTATATTAAATATAGATGATACTGGTGTAAAGATAAAGAAATTTATCTTAACTTAAAAAAATAAATAAAAAACAAACAGAGTAAAAAATAGAAACCTGTATAGAGAACGTGTATTCGTAACCGAGCAAACCAAAAACAAATACGTTTACCAAGAGAAAAGATGAGGAGATACACTCATATATATATATTGAATTTATGGAAAGCACCAAAACGCTTTCCTTCTGAAGTGTATTTCTCCTTTTTATTTACGAATTTTGTGGTGTGTTGGAGTTTTTGAAAAGCAAACTCAACTGCACATAAAATATAAATTTAATTTCAAAGTATAAAAAGAGGATAACAGGCAAAACAATTTAATAAAAGTTTATTTTCGGAAATATTTAATAAGCATATCTATGAACCATCTCCGTAAAAATTCCGACACATTCATACCAGTGACTTGTGGTTGAGGTTCAAATTTCGATATTGTGGGAAATTCAAGAACTACTCGTATTGATAGTTTTATTTCTATTCAATCAATAATATTAATTATAATAAAATTTCACATTCCGTGTAGCAAAATTA